CCCCCCCCCACCCCTTCCCTCCCCAACACCCCTTGGCCCCCACAAACTTATTGGCCAGATGCTGTTCTGCATGCTGCCCAGCTGCATTCCTGGCCGTGTGCATCCTGCAGCTTTGCACATGCATACAGCATTTATCGGTGACATTATCAGCTACACCAGGCAAAAAACCCCAATTGCCGATCACTTTAGTTTTCCTTTTATCGGTACATCTCTAAATCATAATACAATATTTTGCTTTAGTTTCTTTTAATTATACTTCAACAAATGCTTTTATGAAACAGCAGTGTTGAATCTGATATATATTTTTAAGCAAAAACTATGATTCTTAACATCTTCATCTATAGAAGCAGAACAATCAAGTAAGACAAGAAAGAGGGAGGTAATGGGAATGGAGAGTCAGGAGACTTAGAGAAGACAGACAGACAATGCTTCTGCACAGTGTCAACTTCCTCACATAAAGCCAGTTTGACATGATATAAACAAGATTGCTGTTAATTTAATCTGATGCCAATAGCTCCATAAACCATTTATAACCTTTAAGTAAAGTCTTCTCGAAGAATGTTTGGCTGTAATGTTTCTTATAATCTTCCAATCAACACCACTATGCACCCACACTTAACAGCCCTCTTGAGACTCTAAGTCAATTTATCTTCCTATTGCCTCCCAATTTCTTTTTTTAGCTCTTGATTATGGATTGATTTTACTGCCAACTGTTCCTATTTAGGAGGGCAACCCTTAATCAAAAAAGAAATATATTTGCCTCTCTCTATAGAAAACTGTCCCAAGTCAAATATCAGTTTAAAAAAAAAAAGTAAAAAGTTCTGGCCTTGTTTATATCTCCAATGTTGTCAAGCATGGATCTGGGAGTTCCACCATGTAAGCATTAAATCACATGACGATTTAAAAACTCAAATGTTAGAGGACATCCAGAAACAATGTTACAGGTCACTTCCTTTATAATGGAGATTGCAAAGGCTCATGGAAAAATAAAGAATGCCCCAAGAGGATATGCAACTGACCCACCATTCTTGTTGCCTCCAGGAACCCCCAGTTTAGGGGCCTCTTAACTGCAGTTACATCTTTGTTGCTTCTGGCCAGAGGTAAGCCTGAAAATTAATAACTGCTCCTTTGTTCCCAGCAACTGTTGAAGCTTTTGTGTTTCTCTCACAGTCAGGAGTGGAAAAACAGTCACAGAAAGAACAAACCAAACGTTCAGTGAAGCCTTCTGGGAAGATTAGTGGATCATAGAAATCACAAGACAGCAGAACTGAGCATATCATAAAAATCCCTATTCCCCACATCACAAAAGTGAGAAACTTGGCAGCTCTACAGATGGTATGGAGAAAGGAAGGCAGAAAACAAAATGGAGAGAATGCACAGAATTTCTAGGTTTTGCTCTGTACATTTTTTGCAGTGAACACAGCTGTTTTCACAAAAAATTGTGAATGTAACCCAAGGCACAAAATACCTCTCCCTAGATGCCTTTCTCAGCCAACACAAACACTTAGCAAGAACTGAGCCTTGGAGCCCCAGAACCAAGGAAAATAATATAACCCATTCTTTCCCCCCAAAATGGGACAGTAGGGTCAACTTTCTTTTTAGTGAGTCAGAGGGGGACGTCTTTGAGCATTCTTCATGACAGTGTTCTGCCCAAGGCAGACCTCAATTATCTCTTGGTCTTGGGCCAAACCTTGTTTGGATGGATGTGGGTCAGATACTCCACTAACCCACTAGAGAGCATAAGGCAAAACATGAGAAAGGAAAAATCAATTCATTCTACAAATGGTTCTCTTAACAAGGTTTAGAAGAAGTCTTAGAAAATGAGAAAATAGATAACAAAAGGGAAGAAAATGAATAATGATGAAAAAAGAAACAGGCAAATTTCCCATCAGTTTTAAAAAGTCAATTTGTATTCAAAATTCAACAGGAGAGAGCCAAAGCTTTCCAATGGTAATATTATTAAAAAGTTTATTTTCCAAAGTTTAAATGATAAAGTACCAATTTACTGTAATGTCTATAAATGCCACCAGCATTTAGCAACTACAGGAGTCAATGTGTTCTTAACTGATGAACAGTACAGCTTAATACAGAATTTTCCAAGGAACATGAAGGATGCTGGATGCCAAAGCCCAATTAAAACCAGTTTTACACAAAAGCAGTCCCGCTATACAACCAAAGCCTTCATTTCTTGTATCTCTTTTATCCTGTACAATTCTATTTTGTTTCTGTGGTATTACAATATTTATCCTTTGAGCATTTGAGGACTGATTTTTGGTTGTAATCAAATTTCGCATGCATTTTTGTTTCCTAAGATATATTTTTAAACATTCTCATTGTTGGCAGTCCCAATGTTGCCGATTCTCAAGATTTTATCACGACTCTCACAATTTTTTGGGGATTCTTTTGCTTTAAACTCCCATTCCTGGAGTCACAGGATTTGACGGCTAATCTGAATTGGTTGGGGTTCTTTTTGGTTCATTTTGTTTTCTTTTGAAGAAACTTTCTAGCTCTGAAATGGGAAATATGACATTCCTGAAGAATGCAGAAGAGCTAACATGCTAATCTTTAGAAGAAGGAAAAAGGAGGACCCAGGGAATTATAGGTCAGTTAGCCTAAATTCAGAAGTGGAGAAATTACTAAAACAGATTATAAAATAGTTAATTTGTAAATATCTAGAGCATCAGGTGGTGATAACTAGCAGCCAACATGAATTTAAGACTGAACATGCCAAACTAGCTTGATTTCATTCTTTGACAGGAAAACCTAGCTGGTGGATGAGAGGAACATGTTAGACATAATATACCTGGACTTTAATAATGTTTTTGACACATCATTCTCATTAACAAACTGGAGAAATGAAAACTAGGTTGACCTACCATTAGGTGGATACACAATTGGTTAAATAACCACAAAGAAAGAGAAGCTACATACTGAGAAATGTCAGACCGGCAGGAAGCCTCGAGTAAGATACCATTTGCT